CTCCATCGAACAAGAAGCAAGAGTGTCGGACAGGGTTACCGTCGGGGGACTGACTGGTCTTACATCCCGGGGCATGAAGTGTTCACAAAGAGAGAAGACCAAGTACCCCAATGAACGACCTTGGTGACACTACGCAATAATACNACTAATAAAACAATAATATGCATATCAGCGGGCAGTTTGTATAAAGTAAGTGGCGACGGATGCCCGCAGCACTACACAAGTGGTGACGCATGCACCGCAAAAGCCACCCGTCATCGCCGCTCGTCATATCCCACATCCAAATAATGTTACAAATCTGTCCACGAACAGAGAAGCAAAGTGTTTAACCCTTAACAATGTTCTGCGCACCACCTACTTGTGCTGGTTGGGGGTTTGTACTTGTCCCTCCGCGCCGCTTACCCCGACGTGCCACACGAAGGATCACACTGTGACAACAGAGTAGCAGAGATATTTTTATCCGAGGAACTAGTCTATTTCAGGGTCGCTGGTGCACAAGAGGCCACGTTGTTCAGTTGTGGGTGCGGAGTTTGGACATTGCTCTGTGTACACTACACCATTTGACAAACGGACTTCTATCCGAGATAGCCAGCATTATACACTGATAGCTGTAGGCCTCGGGGCCTACCTGGCCCAACGCTGAGAGACGAGCGTGAGGGCGACACGGAGGGCATGCTCGACGATTAGATCCATACCCCCCAGATCTCCGATGGTCATGTTTCAGTTTTTCTCGACTCACCGTTGATGATCAGGCCTCCTTCCTTCGCCACAAGCCCCGCCTGTGATGCTGCTAGAGCGCACGCCGAGTGCGAGTCCAGTAGACGCTCGAGCAATCGGATGGGTGTACGATGAAGGGCTTGTGGAGAGGGCCCTGTCCTGATCCGTCCCCGCATGTGCCATGCACGCCTGCGTAGAATGAGACCCGCCAGCTTCCTCCATTTCGTAGATCTGGTAAAGATACCGTCCAAGTGTAGACATATATACGTCATAGACCATAGCATAGAGTTGTCTTCTTGTCCCGGAGCGGTGTGGCCCTCCATCTCTGGACTCTCTCCTTTCCTCTCTCTGGGGCATACCCCCACGGCGTGCGGCCACTCCGCCACCCCCACCGTGCTCTCTGCTGCTGCATAGCCCCGGCGTCCAAGCCGGGGCGTCAGGATCCAGTCTCATTTTGCAGCTACTATAGCTGGCGGCTAAGGAGCTACCCCGATCTCACGACGGCAGTAACTCCCAGCCGCCAAACTCAGGATCCCCCTCTGAACAGTGCTAGGGGCCGTATAGCCGTCGTTGCTGGGTGGTCTTTCGAGGTCTAGATCCACTTGCGGAACCTCGGCCTACCCCAGGGACAGGGGGGGCAGGCCGGGGAGGATTCAGTCGTCTGGCGAGGGTGTAATTGTGACCCCCCCCCCACGTGTTTTTAGCGTTTCCAATTCCGTCGATCCGTAAGAAGGCTGCTCTATTTCGGAGTGAGATTTCCCGAGTTGGATCTGGGAATTGAAATTTTCAATTTTCCAACTTGAATTTTGCAAACCGTAAGAAACCGCCCAAGGACTATTGTTTACGAGGAAAAATCACGGGAAATTCCGCCGAAGCGTGTTTTCTCGGAAATATATGGAGGCGCATCTCCCCCGATCCGAGAAAGTAGCGAGCAGGTGTTTTTTGGGGGTTTGCTGCTTTCCCCAATCCGGCAATTTGACACAAGCGTCAGGCAGGCTCACTGCGGGAGCTGTAACATCACTGAGAACGCTAGCAAGACTTGCGAGACTCACGTCCAGGTAGTATGTTGTGGAGATGCAGATCCGGCAGAAGCCGCGTTCAGTCAGTTCTTGGTCCCAAAGAAGACATTGCGTGCGTGGTGCTCTCGTCTTCAACTAACTGCTGCTGTTGGTGCTGGAGAGTATTTTTCAATCACACATGGCAAACACGAAAACAGTACAACGGATACAGCAGCAGCGCCAAGACCTCCAACGCGCTGATTCCTGCGGTTTGGCGGTCTGTATGACACTCACACCCGGCGCCGTGCTGCGTCGTGGGTATTGGGAGCTTGGGTACTGCCCAAGAAGGTTTTTGAGAGACGTGTGCCACCTCACCAAAATGCCATTGGGAAAAATTCGGCGAGATGATTTGTTTATGTCGGACACGAGAACACCGATGCACAGCACCACGCAGAAGTAGACCAACAGGGCCTCCGACACGCTCATTCTTTCGCTGATTAGTCATGTATGCAATGCGCAGAAGTAGACCAACAGGGCCTCCGACACGCTCATTATTTCGCTGATTAGTCATGTATGCAATGCTGGCCGTTGGAACCGCTGCCGCCCGGTGATTGTTGAGCTCGTCTACCTTAGGATAGGTGATCGTAAAAGAAGGGAGAGTCGCAACCGTGAAATATGAGCCGGCAAACTGACGAAATAGCAACACCCAGGTTGCGCCACTCTGTCTGCGCCTGTTGTTGATAAAAACTGACAAACAGCAGGCCGGGTGGACGGGATCGTTCTAAGTGTGCTGTCTTTTGTGTCGGCTGCTGCTCAATGCGCTTTTGCCGCTGCTCTATGGTGAGCAAGACCAAGTCAGCCTGTGGTGTGCCGAGCAAAGCGTGTATTCAGCGAAGGAAACGTACTTTTTTCCCATGACATCAAGAACAGAACAAGCGAAAAAAGGGCCGGTTTCCTTTCGCCGTTCGGGGTCTTTACTACACTTTTGGGGACTCGTAATTCCCTGTTCCCTGTTCATAGTTGTGTCTCTTAGCATACACGGCTCCAGGGAACACGGAACAGTTCGGCGCGCGCGCGCGGCCCGCAAGCACTCAAAGGCAAAAAATATAACCATTGGATGCAGAAAAACGAGTGGGGGGTAGAGGAAGGAGGAGTTGTGTAGGTTTGTAAGGAAGCTGTTGACCAGGGCACATCAAACACATGTGCTAGGTATATCTGCTAGAACAGGCGGTGTTCGTCATGCAATCCGCACCTTCGAGAGTGCTCTGCAAGACTTGCTTTTTGAGTCGTTGTCATGCAGCGTCCCGTTTCTTCGACACTTTCTGTTCCCCTATACAACCGCTACACGAGCATCCGCCGCCCTTTTTTCGCGCAAGACACCTGATGATGGTGGAAATGCCTTTTCAGCTTATACTGGTATCATGCAGCACGTGTGGCAGCCACATGCCTGAGAGTGATCACACACATCCCACCACGTCATGAATTGCCACCGAAGAGCCCGTGTTCCACATTAATTACCTATGGTCTGTTGGCTAACTTTAACTGAAAATTACAAGGATAGGTTCTGTAGGGCAAGGGTACGTTCGGTAGGGTAATGGGTCTGTCACAGAACTCACAGAAAAGTTCGATAGGGTACTGGATCTGTCACAGAACCTACAGAACTACAGCGTATTGTGGTGAGCCGTCACAGAACTCACAGAACTTTTGAGTTCTGTAAGCGAGCTGTCACAGAAAAGTTCGGTAGGGTACTGGATCTGTCACAGAACTCACAGAACTACAGGGTATTGTGGTGAGCCGTCACAGAACTCACAGAACTTTCGAGTTCTGTAAGCGAGCTGAAAATAATGGTGCGGCGTAACTAGACCTCACACAGGGAACGCGTGTGTCAATTCTTGTTTCCAGGAAAGTTATTATGAGTGCTGACTAATCGGACAATAATACCGAGCTCTGAAAAGTGCAGTAAAGACACGCGCTGAGACTCGTCACCCCGGTGGTCTAGTTGGTCTAGTTGGTAACCTCGAAACCTTCTAGAGGTCAGGTCAGGGGTGTGAATCCCGGCGTAAGCTAGCATTTCTTGCAAAGTGAGTTTTTCTCCCGCTTCCGCTCCTGGCCTGGCGGATAGCGCTAGTTGGTGTGTACACAGAGGGAAGAGAGTGCTGAACTCTTCTCGCATGAATTCTTCTTGACGGCGCGCCTTAACTGTAGTCCAACACTAGAAGGGGTCGACTCCCATGGTCACAGGCCAGCTTACCCAAAAAAGGTACACGACACCACCATTGGACCCGGAGGGTCCGCAAGTCAAAAGAAGTCAGCGACAGATAGGCCACTCCGCTCGCCTCTACGCGCTGTGCGAGGTAACCCTCGACTGGAAAAACAACGGAAAAGGAAGCGAACCCAAACATGTTTTTGGGCTAAGGACACTCAGGTTCACACACGCCGAAAGGCCTGTAAACCGGTGCGGAGAATAGATAGGACGAACACACACAAAGAATATGAAGAGATGGAATGAAGAAACACTCCTCCTGAACGATTCATTTGCAACAGTCAATCTATAATTAATTATTGTCGTCACGAACGAATGAAAGGTCCGGGAAACAACGCAATACACACGCACCCACCTACACCCCATTCGTCGCACGTCCATATTCCTCTTGCTCGGCAACAGCAGCAAGATTCAACACAGATCCTGAAACCCTACCTTTTGAGGTATGGTCTCAATACGCTGTTGAACGGCGACCAACCCGCCGAGGCTACAACAGTTGACTTGTAGGTACTTAACCGGTCGCTGCATGTCCGCAAACCCTTTAGCTCCCAAATGACTTTCAATCACTAGACTCTAGTCTCTGTGTTTCGCCATGAGCTCGCCACTGAGTAGACGCGCCACGTTACTCATACGGCCATTGATACTCACCGCCAACTCGACTGCCACATTTGCCAGTCTACATGCCTTAGAATGGCGTCGTCTTTTGCGTTCCGTGATTCAATCCAAATGTTTTAGACTTGTTGACCCAGCGGAACCAAGATCCCTGAAACTTTATCGGAATAGCAAAACTTGGACTGAAGTCCGCTGTCCAAAACCCGAATGTTTAGCCGTTTGCCATCGTGTGTGTATGTGTGTGTGATGCTGCCCTGACAGACAACGAGATTATCGAAAACCCACACCGGCACCGACCCTCTAACGCCCGTGTCATCGTCCCAATTAATGCTATGTTTCGGCGATCGCCAAGTTTCATGAAACATGGAAGAAAACACCATTGAACCTGCCGTGCTACCCATGTCATGCCGTGTGACCTTTCGTATGTTAAGGTGCGCACTCAACGTACCCGAAGAAACATAAGAAGGCACTGCCAGCCCCCTCCACCTTGTCACCTTCCGTGTGTTTCGATGAATTTGACGTTTCCGGAGAAGACGACGGACGTAACTGGCCGACCATGTCATCCTTCCCATAATAATTGGTGGGAAACGATCGTTGATCCTGCCTTACCCGCCGCTATGTGACATTCCACATGTTCCAGTGTAAGCTAGCGTACCCGAGGACACATAAGAATGCCCTGCCAAGCCCCCTTCCACCTTGTCATTCTCCCTGTGAATGTGTGTCTCATTCTTCTGGGTATCATTTCTGATAGAATCTTGCCACGAAAAACTACACCAAATATCACATCCCGATCTCGATCATAGTTGCGTGCAAAGAGCAGATTCGCTTCGCAAACATGCCATTTTGCCCGCATCCCCCGCCACCAAAGCGCAAGAGCATACCGCATGCCTTACGCACACACGCGATCTCGACCACCACCAATTAAATTGACCACTCACTCACCACCTCCCCCAGCGAAAGGGACTTCGGCAGCGAGACTTCCGCGTGCACGATGGACCTGGACCTCCCTTCTCCGTCAGTGGTGCACGATTCCGGGTGCCATCTTTCTCCTTTCAAACCCAATTGTTCCCATTTTTCACTGTTGGCCCCACGCATAGACCCGGCACCCCAGTTTAAAACCACGCCGAACTCCGCCCCCCCTGCCCTGGCCCCCGAATCCCCCGCCGCTTCCAAATCCCATAACACCCCCTAAGGGAGGAACTGCTCCGCGCCCAGCACCCGCGTTCGACTCGCCTCGCCCACGCGCACACCGGAAGATGCCTCGTCCACCTCCCCCGCCAACTGCCCCCTTGCTGCCGCCGATCCCATCTGCCCCCCCGTGCCCGCCACCTCCGCAGCCACCAAACATGCCCGCCCTGTTGTCGCCACCTGCCATGAAGACATCGTAGTTGAACCTGCAGGTACTGCCCCTGGCGCACGACCGCGATATGTACCAGTTAATCCCTCCTGATTGAGCGCAACTGCCCGCGGCGACGGCCTTACTGTCGCCAAAAATTACGCCCACCCCCCTCCCCTCCCCCGGTGGTTGCCATCGGTGTTGGGTTCTCGTCGCTTGGCAACGACGCCGTGAAACAAGCCCCCTCGGGCCATTGGGATTGGTTTTTCTTCGCTTGGCAACGACGTTGTAAAACAAGCCAATTCACTTTGTGAACTCGACAACCATGTTACCGGCTTTTCTTTTTTACCCATGTATTTTTTTTGGCCGTAACCATGATGGTGGTCAAGTACATGTTGTGCGGGGTGGAGAACCCTCGCTCCGCGCAAGGGGCATGATCGCACCACGTTGTGTTAAAATGGTCAAGCACCCTCGAGGCCGTTACACAGAGCTTACAACCGTCTCTGGAAGTGAAGCACCAGAAAATTAATTATGTCATACGCAGCTGTCATCCGCAAGGAAGTAAGCACAAGATGCCGAACACCCTTAGCAGGATGCAGCGCACCCTTCATGCGACTCGCCGAATATCTCACGGCGCTTCGCGCTTGGTGATGTGAGAGCCTGGTCCGGTGAGAACCCGGCGT